TGCTATTTAGATTGGCCACCAAGCGAGACCCTTTGGAGTAATGAATATAAGATAGGATAGTTTTAAAGATATAGACCCTGGCCAGGAAGTCCACAGCATGAAGGCTCATCCAGCAGGCCAAGACAAGCCTCAGGGCTTTTTTGGATTTGAGAGAGTACAAAGCAAAGGAAGAAACACTGGCATTCAGAAACGTGGATATCTGAGAAACAGATCAAGAACTAGAAACGGAGAAAAGCAGCTACAGATAAAACTTTAGTTATTCCATGGCTTGCCCCAGCATCAGACCTGACTCATATCCCACAACCTTTCCCTGTAGCTAGGACTCTTAGATATTCAAACTTTGTCATGAAAAAGCATTTCCAAATTTGACCATACATTTTTATTGATGGTCTGCAACAGAGCTTTAGCAACCCAGAATTAATGTTCCTCTCCTTCCAGTTCCTCCCTTCACAAAAGGGAATGGCTGAATGCAATAGAGATATACACAATGCAATCAACTTCCTTTTTGTTTTATGCTCTTCTAATAGTTGGCAGAAAGGGTATGTTTTAAAATAGTCACAGGAGTTGACAGGTGGAAGTCACCACGCTCGAGTTGCCGATCCAAGTTTGGATATCATTAAGCTTGCTTGAAAAAAAAGATTAAAATGTTGGGAAACTCATTTGAAAGACATGTACTTGCCAGAAATATGTAAAACTAGGCTTAAATTATTTTCAAAAGCAGAAATTAAGTAATTCAAACTAGGTATATTTTTACTTACATGAATAAACCTTAAATACACATATACACTTACATACCTCAAGCCCAATTTGGCAGACTGTTAAAACAGAGTGCCATCTGGGAACCTGATTCCTAAGAAATGACTTTAGAGCACTGTCACAAAATCAAGCACTCTTCTTAAGCTTTAGTGAATAGTTACATCCTTGAAATACCACTTTGAGACTCTTTTATTTTCCTGATGGAAATATGTTAACACTAATTTTGATTCCAAATACTGTTCCTTTGGCACCTAACATGTGTAAAGATAACAGATTTTTAATTTCTGTACTTTCATTTTAATAGGCCTAAAAAAACAAACTCAGTTAATATCAATGTTTACTTAAAGTTATATTTTATACCTAAAATATCGATACTCTGAATAATAGAGTAAGTCTATACCAGAAAATAATTTCTTTGCATGACAAATAGTATTCAAAGTCATTGCCATCCTGTAATTATATTATGAACAGAATGTATCGGAAAAAGTGCTAAAAACTGGATTGGAATGGTGAGGAGGTGGAAAGAAGAAACATGTTTACAATCTGTTCAATTTCTCAGCTTAACATTTTTGATATATAGAGCAGTGGTTTAAATACAAGACTTAGTTTCTGAGTCAAATTGCTAGATATATAAAGTTAAAGCCTTTAATAGTTAAACCCTACCTTTCTGCCAACTCTTAGTTCTCCAGTATAGGACCTCTAGGCTACTCTGTCGAGTTGCTTTCTACTGCAACCCATTGTTCTGTACCTCTCTTAATGACCAGATGCCACCACAAAGACGATGGCACTTGCCAGAGGAGCTCTCCGGTGTGCTGTGGCAGGCTGGTGGGGACATTATGCTTGATCTCCTATAGCTCTTTTATGGAAGGCCTGCACAGATGGCTCTGTCGGAGCCTCGCCACCTTTTCTCTGTGGAGTGTGTGTGCTCAGTATGGATGTTTAGTAAATGGTTAAGAATAATGATGCAGTTATTCATCCACACAGAAGATTGATTTTGTGGCCTCAGATTGGGGTAGATCTCAATCTACCATTCATGGAGACTAAATTATAAATTTTTCATTAGCATTTTCAGAAGAAAAGAGGTTTATATCTGAATTGAATCTCAGAAAACATTAAAAAAAAGAGGTTTCTTCTCAAAGAAGAAAACAATGGGATCCTAATAGGACCCTACCCCTTAAGTCAGGAATATCGAAATTAAAGGTATCACTTGATCCTTGAATATATGTAATCCCTAAATAAATGGAATAATTCAAACACATTTGAAAAAATTAAAACTGCTTCCTACAAAGTAAAATAATTATTAGAAAATAGGATAATTTACAGAAATATAAAGAATACGCTAGTTTTGTTGATTAGTAAAAAGTTACTACTGTGAATTAAATTATACATTTCTGATTGCTAGAAAATTGAAAACTAGTTGGAGTCCTGGATTATTGAAACTATTCATTAACAAGAGCTCTTGACTTGCTTCTGCTACCGTCACTTATTTTCAACACACACGACTCTCCTTGTGCTCCATACAGCAACCATCACCACTGCCCACTAACAAAAAAGTTCCCCACATTTTCCAACACGGAGAAGATTGACTGTCCTTTCCTATTTGCTCTCATTATGTGTCATGATTAGATCCAGTTTCCAGCAAGGCCAACAACACGTCTGTGCACTGGTAGATGCAGTCTGAGCAGTCATAATACAGCATTTAAAATCATCTAATCATTTGTTACGCTTTGGTAAATTTAATGCATACAGATAAGCAAAATAATTTCAGAGTGCTTACACACATTACCACACTCTCAGACAAGTTACAATGAGCCTTCCCATTTAAACAGACAATAAACAAATACAGGAATGTATAAATTATATGTCACTAAATAAAAAGTTAATATTTTAGTAGAATGCCAAAGCTGTCACCGTCAGTATCCTTCATTTCCACATGACTATTTTTCTGGCAGGGAGGGAATAAGTAAGAAATTCTAAGCCTAAAGCCAGAGTTTCTCAACTCCAGTATTATTAATATTTGGAGTAGGAAAATTCTTTGTTGTAGGGGCTATCTCATGCATTAAAGTGTATTCAGCAGGATTCCTGTCCCATTAGATACCTGTAGCACCCCTATCCAGCTATGGCAACCAAAAGTGTCTCCAGACGTGGCCAGAAATCCCCTGGTTGGCAAAACTGTCCCCAGTTGAGAACCACTGATCTAACCAACATCAAATCCTTTAATCTGTAGTAATGATAGGACAAGAATTTTGACCCAAAGGAGTCTCCACATTATATATTTTTTAAAAATTAAAATGCATTACTATGTAGTAAGCAATGATTTGCTTTTCTTTAAATCTGCTTCCTTTAGATAAAGTGCTGTCTCAAGGCATAAGAGCCTAGACAACATTTTTAAAGAAGCTGCTGGTCAGTTTCCTTAGTCTCATCTGGGAGGCTCCAGTGCTTCCACTGCAGCAGACCCAGGGTCGACTCCTTTGCTTTTTGGCCCAATGAGATAGAATTATCAGGAAGAATGTTCTTGAGTGAAGTCAAAGTTCCTACTCAGGCATTCTTGCAGGCACTACTTAGGCACACCTTGCTTCGACGGACTTGTGGTTTCCACCGAAACAAGTTGTTCTGCATACTTCTCGCTGCAGCTCTAACTACGTGACCTCAAAGTTTCAGTTTGTCAGTAATTTAATTTCACCGAAGGCTGAGCCCAGATACTAATTTGTCTTAAACATTTTAGGCCCAACATCTCATGAAACAGGCTCCAGGCAAACACTCTTGGACTTGGGAGCCAACAAACATGTTTTGCCTAGTCCTCAGCCTACCCAAATACAGGCTACAGACTTTCAAAACAGAGTCTATGATTTTAGGGGGAAGCACGTTAATGCTTAACAAGCATCCACAACTTAAGAAAAAGACTTTCAAAGTCTAAAGCTCCTTTGCCCATCAGATAGGCCTTATGAAGAAATGCGCTGATAAGGAAAAAGAAAACAAATACATCTAAATATTTCATTTTTATGGAAAGTAAACATGACCCCACATACTGTAGAAGCACAACTTCACTTCGGTGATGAAATTTAGAATCTCTAAACTATCTTTCAATTAGTCAGAAATGCGGGCAGATTCATCCGTCCCATAGACATTTCATTACCATGGAGTTTAGAAAAGCTTATTCAACAGAACTAGAAGCAGGTAGGTTCAAAACAGCGTGTTCATTTAAAAACATATATTGTTAGACTTTGGAAGCATAATTCTACCTGGGTCTGGTGCTGTTTTGTGTACTGCTATCACAGGTATGTACATCCCTGGTTATTTTTCTTCAAAAAAAAATTGGTCATCCAGTTTTAAAAATAACTATTAAAGCTTTTACACAGGGATATTAACCACGTAAGCTAAATCTTTGAACTGGTAGAAACCGATTTTTCCATTTTCATTATTTCTATAGATAGAATAAGGTGTTTATTTTCTCCCTTACAAAAATATTAATTTGGTTTAAGAGGCAGGATGACAAAGAGATAGTTATTATGTGACACAGTTTGTTAATGATTGCCTGGAAGCAAATTAGATTTATAGGAAAAGTAAATAAATCTCATCAGAGCTTAAAACCAGATTTCCTGAAACTGCATACTCCCACACAAGCACCATTTTCCACCTAAAATCTAAAAGACACTGGCGTACGTATTCTCACCCCCACTTTCACTTTCTCATCCACACTATTAAGATCGTGGAAAACAGCTCATTTTTAAAAGTCAGCCACAGCCGGCAAGGTCCTTGGCATTACATGTTGGTGCCAGGCACTGCTGCCTTCCCAATATTAAGAGAGTCTTTTTTACCACTTTCCTATCTAATTTTATGCTAATAATTATGTCTTCATTCCAAATATATTTAAAAAATTAAATATTGTTGTTACTCTACAAACTATAATATAATCCCTAAATTCACCTTGTAAGTATAATGAATATCTTCAACATTAGCAACCAAACACTACCATGTTGGACAAGCATTAAGCTATTAACACCACTATTCTGGTCAGATTAGAGATTTATAGTAAGACCATGCTATGTTACGAGTTACAAACAGCTTCACATTCACAGTCCCTAAGCCATTTTTAAAATAGTCTCTTTTAGAATGAGAACAAGAAGACAGAGAGAAGGAGATTTTTTTCTGTAATCATGAACTCTCAGCAATTCATTTCACTTAAGCTACAAGCTCTAAGTTTAAATATATGTGTATATATATAACAAACTGTTGAAACTTACTTGACAGTGACTCGATTTGATAAGTCCTGTAGATCTCCAGGATGGAAAAGCTGGGCTTCTTTCAATCCAATCTGTTCACAAGCTTTCAAGAAAACGTTTATATTATCCTGTGAAAAGAAGTGGAAAGTGATTGCTTAGCCGAGCTCTCTCTCAGACAAAGGTTACAAATTTTTATGATATAACTTCGAAGCTTCAAAGTCCAATTACAGTCAGCAAAAGAGGCGGCAACAAGACCCATGCATATAAATATTTGAAAAAAAATACATAGGGCTTATACAGCCTTTCAATCCTCCAGAGCATACACGGTTGTGCTATCTTATGCCCGGGCATACGCTGCTTCTGTGATCTTTGTGACTGGCACGTTAAACATTACCTGTTACAGGACAAGTGCCTAGCCACTGAGCAGTAATCTACACTTTGATGTCAGCTCTGTTCTGCAAACAAACGCCCTCTTCCCAGCTTTGCACGGCAAGCCTCACCTCTCCTCTTTAAAAATAACTCCAGCTACTGACATTCACCCACCCAGAAACTGTTGGCAGGGAAGAAATAAGAGGAGGAACATTCTGTTTCTATGATTACAAATTACAGAACGACTGTGGAATACCACACCTGGAATCTGGGTTTGGTTGCTGAGCTGGCTCTTGACAGACAGGGAAACCATACTATAGGACAGAGGAGAAACCTAGCGTTCATTGGCTAAACTGCATAGTTTGTGTGGCACATTACTCACTCCCTGCACCTGCCTCAAGAGCTGCCTCCAAAAAAAATGAAAGTCTATCCACTCCCTCCAAGGTTGCCCTCATATCTAATTTCAAAACCCAAATCCTCCATTCACACACCAGTGCTTTTCATTAATGTAAACTGCTGCACAAACACAGATTACAATATAGACTATTTTAAAGCCAGCTACATTTCAGAGACATACGTTTGGTTACCAGAATTAGCTTAGGCTTCATCTCTACTACTCTAAAAAAAAAAAAGAAAGAAAGAAAAGAAAAGAAAAAAGAAAAAGGAAGAAAGAAAAAAGACTTTATAGGATTAAGCTAGTGCCGAGCCCATGCGGGCTCTACATATGCACCGTGTTAGGATTCGGTAAAGGGATGGCCCCCCAGCATGCCAACACACATCTGTCCACTGAGGCAGCTGGCAATGCTACCTCTGTGGTGTGAGTCTCCTTGAAACCTCGCCTCCCATCCCTAACAGGTGACTTTCACAGACCAGAAGACAGTCTGCCACTTGGAGAAAGGCAATTACTCTTTTCCCAAGATAAAGTGGCTAAATTCTACAGCTTAGGTTCTTGGAGAGTAAGGGGATCTACGGAAAGCACAAGAAAAGGTGTGGTCAGAGAAAAGCAACACTGATTACTCGGAAAAGAGACATCTTAAAAAGCCAATATTTGTATAAGTAGGAGGTCATTCCAATCTACTGTGAATAAAAGGCAGTGAGAACAACCTAGCTGAATGCTGAAATCCGTGAATCATTTTAAATAAGATGAAGTCAAAGAGTAAAGACTTGCAAATCAAAAGTTGAGCAGCTCAATGAAAGGTGTTTTTCATTTGACTTACTATGGAAAAAAGAGAAATAATTTATTGGCAACATTCCAAGAGGAGCAAAAAGTGATAATTTTGTTAGGCCCACGGTTTCTAAAAACTATACTATCTGTGATTATCAAATGATACAAATTAGTGGTTCTAAAATTGGCCGTCTGAGAACCAGGCAAGAACAAATGGTTGGATGTACCAATACCCCAAGTTCCATAGTGATATGGTTTGGCTCTGTGTCCCCAGCCAAATCTCATCTCAAATTGTAATCTTCACATGTCAGTGGAGGAAACTGTAATCCCCACATGCCAAGGGAGGGAGGTGATTGGATCATGGGGCAGTTTCCCCTATGCTGTTCTCATGATAGTGATGAGTTCTCAGGAGATCTGGTGGTTTTATATGGGGCTTTACCCCCTTCTCTCTCTCTCTCTCTCACCTGCCTCCATGTAAGATATATCTGCCTCCCCTTCTGCCACAATTGTAAGCTTCCTGAGGCCTTCCCAGACATGCAGATCTGTCAATCAATTAAACCTTTTTTTTTTTTAAATAAATTAGCCAGTCTCAGGTAGTTCTTTATAGCAGTGTAAAAATGAACTAATACACATAGGAAGCAAGTCTCATATCAATAAAGGAAAAACAAACCATTAGAAGTCTTCACACCAATTCAACACATTCAATTTGGTTCTGAATGTTTAAAGTATTACATAAAATATTAAATTAAGATTAAACTAAAAGTTAACTTAGTGAAATGAGAGTCAAAACAATTCTTCAGATATTTTATACAAACATAATAGCATTCTTCTGGCTGACAAATAGATATAGGTTGATAAGAACAGATAAATAAAGCCACACTCTCCTCAAAAACCTCTGACATAGAACGAAAGCATTTGATATCTAAAGTGACTATACTTAACTGAAGACAAAGTTCAAGAGAAGATACAAATTAATATGGTTAAATTCTAGTCTTAAATAAAGCCTTTATTTTAAGAAAAAAAAGCAGAATATCTTTTTAATTGTTCAATGATGCTCAAGTTTAAAACAGAACAACTTTGTAAACAAAGTCACACATGGCCTATGCAGCAGGACCAGGCTGTACTAAGATCGGTAAGGTAGCCTCAGTCATTCCTCCTGGACTTCAGCTCACTGGTAATTTATTACTTGCAATTTCAAAGGATCCAGGTAAAGAGGTGCCTAAGAATATACACAAAATTATCAAATAAAATTTTCATGTCAGTTAAAACTTCAAGAAGCCACACCAAGCTCAACACATTAAAAGGGAAGTATGTAGTTCTCATTTAATGAAATTATTTTCACTTGAAAGTAGCAAAAAGAAAAAGAAAAATAGAGGTCAAATTAAAACAAATCTTATCTAATTGGACCAGTAGCCAGGACTCCAAGTTAGCTTTGTCCCTAAACAACTGTGTGGCTTTGGAAAGAGTGTTAACATTTCTGGACCCATTTTCCTCATCTCTGAAATGAGCAGTTTGTGAATCTGTAACCCATTATCAAGGGTAATCATTTTTCTCGATGAGAGAAGGGAAACCCAACCCTGCCTGGCCCAACCCATCACACAAATATTTCACTGCCCAACTTCCATAAAATACTTCATGTCAAAATCCTGCTCTAAACATCTGTAAACCCTGTACTTTCAGGATGAAAAGTGGCTTCTCAAAGACAAATCAAAACATGCGTACCCACATGCGCACCCGCACAGGCACACACACAAAAGAAAACAATGAACCCTAAATGTATCTAATAGCTCCTTTTAGCTTTAAATGTTTCCATGACTATGAATAAACACAGGCACTACATAAACAGGAAATATACATGGCTTTAAGATGTTCATATTCTCTCCAATCTCCCTTCCAGCCCTTATCCTCCATCAATTATAAAGCAGTCATAACAGGTGTAGGGTGGAGCGGGCTAGGGTAAATTAGAGAGCTTAATGATCAGGCACAAGAGTACTTACCACTGAGCTAAGATGGGGAAGCCACACCTATCTACCAAGACAATGAAAGTTTGTATTTGTTCACTGTAGTACCCTACTACTTATCTATTGATGCATAATACATTATCCCCAACTCAGCACCTTAAGGGAACAGGCGTTTATGATTTCACATAGTTTCTGAAGGAAATTCAGGAGTGGCCTTAGCTGGATATTTCTGAATTGGGGGACAGGACCTCTCATTAGGTTGTAATTGAGATGTCAGCCATCACTACAGTCATCAGAAGGCTTTCCTGGAGCTTGGAGGAGCTGTTTCCAAGGTGGCTCACTCAGGTGACTGACAAATCAGGGCTGGTTGTTAACAGGAAGCCTTGATTCTTTACCAAATGGACATCTCCAAAGGGTTGCTTGATAGAGCCAGTGATCTAAGAGAGCAAGATGGAAGTTGGAATGTCTTATGGTGTAGCTTTTGAAGTCACATTCCATCATTTCCTCAGCATCCTCTTGGTTACATGGTCAGCCCTATTCCATGCAGGGAAGAGGGCACAAGAACACAAACACCAGGAGGTGAGAATCACAGGGTGGGGGGGGTGCTCTCTGGAGGACTGGCTACTACACTTCACTCTCTGGACCCAGCTCAGTGATTCATGTCCCGACCATGCGCAAAATACACTTAAGCCCTAATAGGGCCTGCAAATTTTCATCCCTTTACAAGGTGATGTGGAATATCATCACCTACGTTTGATCCAGGAGTGTCTGGGATTTCTCAGTTGTAATTCCTTAACTATGGCCCTTGAATACAGTTCCTCTCAACTGGAATGCCAGTGAACTAGGACAAGTTACATGCTCCCACACTCCCAGCATGCAATAGAGTGACAGGTGTAAAATAAATCACTATGGACACTTCAGATCAGAGAGTAGAGGAATGAAAGGCACACAGGAGTCACTGGTCCACAGACATTCTAAAATCCTGCAAGACACAGGTTGGCAGTTCCTTCGTGAGGACTCAAGGCCATGAATCAAAAATTCATGATTTTTCGCTACACCCTTTGGATTCTTGGTGCCAACCTAAAAGTCATCTTTGCTTTTCACTGAAAAGTAGCCTATTCTTTGTGGTTATGTAGGTTTTTCAATTTACTTCTTTAACCTACCCATAGCAATTGAGAGAATTAAGGATCTCTTAAGTACACAATTCTCTATCCCTTTCAGCCTCAGATGGCAGTGTTTCTGCAAATACAATTCTCCCAAAGATGCTATAAATCTTCTGTGAATCTTATTGGAGTTTATTCCATTAGATAAAAGCTGCAACCATGCGTCTCTTCAAGAGCAGCCCTTCTCTTCCCTGGTATCCTGCTGAGATGACTGGAGGACAATATGCTTAAGGTTCTCAGAAGCCCTATTGCTTGACTGGACAGAACCCCAAGGTACCATCTTGAATCTAAGAACCTAAAGAATTTTACAACCACATTCTCAACTCTTTTATCGGCCTTACTTTCTTGCAAAGTGTCTGAATTTAATCTTGCAAATTCTTTGAATTTAATCTATGCCTGAAAACCATTTCTCAATTCTACCATCTTAGAATTTACTTACTAAAGAGGTGACAATTTTCAAAAGCAGCAAT